TGTAGCCCAAGGAACACAATCAAATTATTCTGTGATATCTCCAAAGGAGAGGAAGGAAACAATTGTTTCGTAAAAAAGATGCAACTTGTAAAAGTGAGACCCCTAAACTGACAGTAACTTGGCAAATACCCACCCCCACACACACGCTTGAATCACCCTGGTGGAAAGCAGGGTCAAAGTGAAGGAAATACCAGGCTCCTTTGTGGGATATTCACTATTTAGAAGCATGAATCTGGAAATAGAGAGGTCCAAACCAATACTAAGGCACGAGGTGATATCCACCAAAATGACTCCATTTGCTCCAAATGCCTCTTGTTACATGCTTCCCACTCCCCAGTCCATTGTTTCTACCATATGAGGGCAGGGACTCGTAATCCGTATGTTGATGAGACGAGGTCAATGCTCTTTTCTAGCTCTGTGTTAAAAGCAGTTATGGAAGAAAAGCCTAACCAACAAAATAAAGGCTCAGTTTAAGTGTCACTGGATTTTCTTGCTCTCTGCCTTCTTGTACCTCAGCAGCTTCCATCCACCTGGGACCTGTCCAGAAATATTTTCTTTTGGTAGTGTTAGAAATTGAAAGATTTTCATATAAGCTGTCCTGAATTTTTAATTCACCAGTCATAGGACAGATAAAACAATGGCATACCTGTGTTTTGGATTTTACCAAGCATGTGGAACGAAACCCTTTCCCTGTCTTCAAACAATTGCAAAAGCGTAGTCAGCTGGGCAAAAGGAAGGCATCTATGACAGGAGAAGGGGAACTACCCAACAAATTTTCTCAAGTGGATTTTAACACTTTACTAACAAGTCTCAGAAAGGTCTCCTCTAGGATGGCTGGGACCATTAGGCATAAAAGGCTTTCAGGATGGCAGATGAGAGATTGTGGGAGAACAGGTTGTCCGTATTATGGAAGGCATCTTAGACTGCTGTGTTTGAGAAACAATATAGGACACCGGAATGTGAAGCTTCATAGGCTGCACAACAGAAAATAATATTTTCTAAGAGCAACCTTGCTCAGGGGAGACATCTCCTGCAGAAGGCACTCCTGCTGAGATTGTCCTGGAGACCTAAGTCTGCAAGAATATAGGGGGAGCTTGAGCTTTTACCTTCAGCAGTGAAATCACCCCATTCACACTAAGGTCGTTCTGATATTTTACTCTTCTTCTTCATGAACTGAGAGGGCTGTATCTATGCAAGATAGAAAGGGCAGGTCTACAGAGATAATAGACCTGAGCTTCCCATTCCCAAGACTGACTGGTCTTGGGTGGGTGATGGATTCTAGCAAAAGTTAGAAGTCACTTTGCGTGGGAGCACTGCCTGGGCTAATGCACTTGTCTCTTAGATTTAACAACCATGTCATTAGTATCAAAAACTGCTCTTCTGACATTTGGCCGAAACATATCTACACAGGCTTCTTAAGCACTTTCTGCTCACCTTGAACGGGAAAACAGATGAGCTGGCTGGGCAAAGGTAAATTCTAGATAGCAAATGTGCCTTTAAAGAGCCAGTATCATTTGATACCATTTTTGAACTTGCATCATATATATGACACTAGCAGAAGGGTATCAACAGCAACCTTTTCGGGGTGGACTTTAAGCATCTACACAAACAACTGGACACACACAGTTGAGTTGTATCTGGAACCTGCCCAGCTTCATTAGTATGACACTGAACCTCAGCTCTGGATTTCAAGGATTTATCTAGGCTCTGTGCTACCAAAGCAGCAGCCTATGAGATGAAAGCTTACCAATCAGTAAGTAGCAGAGTAGCAGAAAATTTCAGAATAAATGCCACAGAAGTGTTGCAGTTCTGTTTTTTCTACTGTCATTTTAGGCAGTCCATGCTTTCACTATTAGCTGTCTAAAAAGTCAAAGCTTGTATATGCCTTCATGTGCTCCCTGGTGGAAGTATCTACCACCCATGAACCTAACAAGCCTGCACTTTTTTCAGCACTTCCACTAGTGCTGGAAGTAAAATGGTTCTGTAAAAAATGTTAACATTTTCTGGCATCATGGCAGATGTCAACAGCATCATCTCCTCCAGCAAGGACTGGGAATACGTGCAATGGAGCAGTCTCATGTGGCCTGAAAACCAGCAATGAGCATCCATCTATCAAGTCACTAAGTACAGTAAGGGGGATTTCCACAAAGTATATGTAACACAACATTAAATACTAGAAGAGTCATAAAACACCAAAGAATGACCTTCACTTTGGGATTTTGCTCATCTGTATTAGTCATGGTCAGAGCGTCTCAGGTCGGGAGGGGGAAAATAAATCCAGCCCACAGAATCCTGCTGCTCCCCAAGCAGCTCTGTCAAACCCGAGCGTGAGAGGTTACACTGCCTAAGGGCTAAGCAGCATGAGCAGCCCTGGCGTTGGTGCATGTGCTCACCAAGGGAAGCAGCAAAAGCATGGTGCCTGGGGACATCTCCCGGCCCAGACTGCTTCCTCAGGGAAGATTGTGGTGGGTAGAGGCATGGGAGAGATGAAGAACTAAGATGGGCTAGGAAGTGGGGCAGAAGGCTGGGATCTGATGCGGTGATCATGGGGGTCCAGGTGCAAGAAGGACATACCTGTCCACGGGGGAGTACAGCACGGAGAGACCGAGACAGACAAGAAGGTTGTTGCAGCGGAGCAGTAGGGATGGGGTTGGTAATTAATTCCCCAGCAGAGCCCTGCAGGCAGACACCACACGTACAGTTTTTCCCTCAGGGAAAGGTAAAAAAATTGCACCGCACAAGCATATCTGTTCCTGACCTCCGCGGGGCACGGGTGATGCATGCACCCGCATCACATGTGCATGTGCAATGAGAGCACATGCTCTCAGTGCGCACTCCTGAGATGCCTGCAGGGAACTTGAAGTAAGCACAGTCATCCTGCGCAGCCTCGCTAAGGCCATTCAAAACCCCTATCTAAAAGCACTGCAGTATTTCACTATTTGAGCCTCTGCTTCCCATCACTCTTTTGAGTCTCTGTCAGTATTCTTCTCTGCAAAATATAAGCAGAAGCTAGATGTGATTAGACAGATGTGATCAAAAAATAGTGATGCCACATCAGGTGATAGGGAACTCTGCCATTTTAGTCACATGAGGCCCAATTATCTGGCCACATGGCAAGGGAGAGCTGCAGGCATGAGACTTTCCACTGCCCTAACGACTGCTAATGTGGCTTTTTCTCTGTTAAAAGAAAACACTCTGCAGTGTTCGTCGACAGCGTACAATTACATGGAAAAGGGCAGAGCTGAAGTTGTCCGTTCATCACAGTTTTGCATTATCTCTTCATTCACCTTGTACTATGACGTTATATTTTGAACAAATATGTGCAATTTAAATGCTCACTCACACTCCATGCATTCATCGATGACAGAATACTACTTCTTTCGTTTCTCCGGGTCGCTTACTAACAACAACAAACAAAAAGTGATTATTTTTCAAGCAGCAACTGTTTATTGGGAAAAACATTAGGACTTTATTTCTTTCTTTCTTACATATACTTGATTTGAATAAAAATAATTTAAAATGTTTTATTTTTTATATTACATGAAAATAACTGGAAACAAGGCTTTTGGAAACAAGAACACTTAGACAAAACTGTTGTTTAGCTGCTGAGATGTAGTACTTGCACATTTTAACTCAAATAGAGAAACAATCACAATTGTCATTCCAGTGAAGAAAATTAATCCATTTATAAAATATTTTGAAGTTTGAGAATGGCATATAGTTACACTAGAAAGTATTCATAATATAGTGCGTGAGTTCTAACACATTTCCTAAAATATATACTTCTTGGACTTTACAAGGTCAAATATTTTAGACCATGTTCCAGTGGAAAAACACTACAAACGTATTATAATCCTTTTAAGGTCCTTATGGAATTAACTTCTACTTCCTTTTGAGGAATTTTAATTTAATATCTCAAGCGATAAAATATTGCATACAAACAAGCTTGCAAAAGCTTATTCGCACTAACTTGGACAACTGCTATTTTAACAAAGGATAAAGCACCTCTCGTAACAATGATAAAGCATCACTGTTACAGTAGCTCATGAAGCGGCAGGTTTTGTGCACAGACTGGTACAATTTTCATGACATCTCTGTAAATCTGATAAAAATTACTGCACGTTCAGTAATAAGAAATTAAACTAATGGGAATTAAAATACGCTTAAGGCTGGGGTGGATTACAGTTACAAGACAAAGATTCCATTAAGTAATCCAATTCACATTATCTGACTAAAACTTCCAGTATAGAGACTGTTTTCTTCTTTTCCTTTTTAAAATATATGCGACCTACTGTAATTTCTATTCCCAGGCTTACCATGTGTCTTTTCAGTTGAATGTGAGTATAGTTCAGCTTTTCATTAAGATGCTAGGGAAATGAACATCATTCAGCATGACCTGAATGGATTTTATTAAAAAACAAAAAAACAAACCAAACCCAACCCAACCCCAGAAGGTAATTAGCATGCCAAGGTCTCACTTTAGTGCACAAAACTATTATCTGTAGAAATACGCAGGGTAAAAATGAGATGGAACTTGAGTAGGTATTTATTTGCACTGAGTACCATATTAAATTTAATGTAATTGTCACAGTCATGGCTGTCTGACAGACCAACGGAAAACCATTCTGCACCGAGCACAAGGAAAAAATACTATTAATACGACTGTCAAAACTGTTTTCTCGTTAACAGCTGAACCTCAGGGGCCGGTTCCCTTTTAAAGGCCACTGGAAACGCTGGCTGACAAACAAGCCAATCCCGTCTAAAAAGACACTGTCGAGCCCTTTAAAAATAAACATTTAATTTCAGTATATTTTGGGGATTTTTTTTTGCATTGTTCTTGGCTTATTTTTGTAACTGTCTGCTGTTTCCAGCGCCGTCTCAGAGGCTGAAACGGTTTATTCCTTCCTCCGCCTGTTTTGTCATCTTCCACTTGGCAGATGCTACCTACCACACCCGGCTGTTCCTTACGGCGCCCACGGCACTGCCCTTGCCTTCTTATGTTTCCTTGTCCGTTATCCGTATCATCAGTGGAATTTTCAGACCTGGAATGTGATTTAGGAACGAATACGCGTTTTCTTTTACGAAGGAATGCCTGCTTTTGCCACCGCAGCCAGGTGAAAATATTGTCATTTTAAATAGGGTGGGCAGTGGCTCTTCTGAGAAAAATCAGTGATGCAATTTAGAAAGTCGAGGAGACGCTTCCACCAGACTGCAGTAGTTTTAAGATCAGGTAAAATTCTGGATCTAAACTACGCAATATGTCTTCCTTTCTAAATTCAGAATTACTTTTAGTTTGACAAAGAAATATTCTACTGGTATGAGATACAGGGTTCTCGAAATTATTATGCATATTTATGTCTTACATACGTTTTACTTTTCTCTAGATATATTACTCACTGATTTAATTCACTCAGGAATCTACCGTACTGTCAACCAACTACAGTAATCCAGAAATATTTTTTGTGTATGGAAGGGGCTTAATCATTAAGCCGCACCTTCCTACAAAGCTTCAGTGTTTTTGATTGGTAAAAAGTATTTCTCATTGAAATAACACTGAAGTGGAGCCCAAGCCCTCCTCCACATACATGACTGTTAAGTTAATTAACTTTTCAGGACAAAATGCTGATCACAGTTAATGACAAGATACACTATATCATTTTCAAGACAGCTCAAGCGGTAGCTCTGGTGGTACAACAGTGTATCTTGGGTCAAGCCTAGGTGTGAAATCCTTGAAGTTCTTAGAGGCTTCAGTACCAAATACATCTAACACTTTCCTATTCATGAGAGCAAACCTGAAAAAGAAACAGACATGAGAAAGTGAACAAATTGTTAATTTATTTATAAATAAAAAATGCTACTATTAGAATGATTTCATTACACGAAAGACTATCCCTATCTGTGAAATACAGGCTTCAGCTAGCATTGTTTATTGACTAACTTTTTTATCATGGGCAATATAAATTAAAAAATGTATACTGGACAAATATGATTAATAATGATTTCTGTAGATGTGCTTTATATAATAAAACTTGTGGAAAAGGGGAAGCAGAGAGTCCCATTCTACTTTTATTGTCATCAAAAAACTCCAAACGAAATATACTACTCTTCTTTCCTACCCCAGCACAGAGCAAACTCTGGCCACGTCTGCCTATGATTGTATGACAATTTTATGGGTGTTGCAACTTTTTTATTTCTTTACTTTTCAAAATTGTTGAGCAAAAGCCCTACAAAATGTCCAAAGAAACTGACCTCGGAGAAAGTCCAACTGACGTGGAGAAAGTATTAAAGTTACTACTACCGAAATTTGTTTAAAATAAAATAAATGAGCGGCAAGTCACAGAATTTCTTTCTCCCCTTCTCTTTCAACTAAAGCAATCTTAGGATTAGCACACGAGGGAAAAATGCAGCCAAAATTGGACATCCGCAGTGACACCATCCCCCGTGTCATGTCTGTACAGCCTCAGAGGGTGCCTGCACATTGCCTCCAGACATCCCAAGGAAAGCTTTCCACTATGTCTAGTAACATATCAAGTCAGCTAATGTCCAGCTAACAGTGTATCATGCCATGGGGTGTGCAGGTTCAATATGCTCCAGGAACTGGCCTCTGAGTTCACTTTTATTTTTATGGTCTGGACAGAAAGAGAATCTAGTCTTAAAACTGCTCTTCAAATTACAGTGGGTCATATCTAAAGCACAGAAGGGAATTCCCTGGCTCCCTGTAATGGACTTCATTCAAAAACTGATCAAAATCAAGATTTGGATGCCGTCTTCTGCCTTATTGTACATCAGTATAATAATGTACACTTTACTAAAATAAATTAATTACACTGAAATCTAGTTTAAAAGGTAAGCATTTTAGATCCCCTCAGCAAATAAGAATAAATTATATTCAATAAGATATCACAGCCTAAGTCTACGGTTATAAGTGAAAATCTTTTATTTTCTGAGAAAAAAACTCCTTTCCCAACCAAAACAGATGTTCTATAAAAAACTGTTGAATCTTCAAAGGAATTTTCGTGAGAAATATTCTATTAATACTTTTAAACACACAGTAATATAATGTTGCAAATCACTGCACAACACTGATTTCTTTGACTTGTCTATTTGTTTACTTGATACTTCACATACCACTGAAATCTCAAAGTATTCTACCTTTCCAAGTGAACTGAAGAAAATGATTTAGAAAGTTGAATGTGACCAATGGTATGTTTACACAAGTCGTAACATACCCTTGTTTACGTACCTGCCTTTTGTTAGTCGTAAAAGAAATTTCCAGTATGAAGGTCTCAGGTTCTGAACTTCCATCACAGCCTGCAAGGAGAAAACTCTGTAAGCACCAGCTGCACTGGGTTAGGCAAAAAGGTGCATCTTGTGTATTATCTTGCCTCAAACAGTAACCATTAAAGGATGGGTAGGGTGGAATAAATATATTAAAAAAAAAAAATCCTCTCATGATTCACGGACTGAAAGCAACTGTGATCACTTGTCAATGTACAGCACTCTCAGTAAATAAAGCTGTCACAGCTGAATTCAATGCTTTATGTGACTAACACCCAGCAGAGAACGACATTTCCAGAAGACTGTCTTTCAAGAGTGGTGGTAACTAGATCCTATTGTTGTGCAGGAAAAAAAAAAATCTTTATTATTCCTATGCACACTGTTTTGAATTTGTGGATGCCAAACTTCTGCTATTTTATCCTCCACTCATTCTGCATTGTGTGATCTATCATTCTGTGTAGTCATTTTTACACTTTACTAAACCAAATAACGTTAGATAACCAAACCCTTTCTCTTCTCTCCAAGTCTCTTATGAACACGGTGAAGAGCAAACACCTCAGCACAGATCCATTTGACAATTTCCTCCTCTTTCCCCTCTACTAAAACTAGCAATTTATTTCTAGTTTTAGATTCCTATGTTCCAATTCATTATTAAGCAATGAAAAAAACCCTTCCCACTCTTCTCATGATAACTCAATTTCCTTTTAAGCTTCATGTGATGGATCTTGCCAATAGCATTTTGGAGATCTCAACACCGCACTGCTTCACATATACACACACATGCCATGCACATCAGTTCATTCTGACGTTAGAATAAGAGTTATTCGCAAATACGGGGGAGGGAGAAAGAGGAGGAACATTGCAGCTGCTTTCCCTTATGGACAGGACAACAGAAGCCTTGTTCAGGGTCATTTTATATTCTCTTTATTGAGAGGGAAAAAAAAAATTCATTATGGAATAAAAAAGGTCCACAAAACATTCAATGGGACATTTAGGCAGAAGAATAAGAAAGGATGGGATGCAGTGGAATAAGGTAGAGTAATTTAGTTACCACTGTAAAGGAGCTTTTACAGCTGACACAGCAGATGGGAAAGGGACTAAGGATGAAGACATGCGACGGAATTGGAAAGGGCAAAAGACAAAAACTACAGCTTGTTTCAAATGCAAAACTTTAGATTTCCCTGCTAAATTCTCCAGATTATTTCAAATATGCACTCTTAAATTAAGTTGGCTGAGAGTGAAATTTTCAAATTGACCAGAAAAAAGTAACATATTTCAGTTCCTTGACCAAAAAAAAATATATACATAAAAGTCCCTACATTTACATCCATATTTTGGGTCACTGCATTTTGAGATCCTTTCCAAAGAAGACCATATTCAGTTATAAGTGTATGAAAAATCTGAGTCATAGAAATAACCTTCCCCACACAGTAACACTCAAAAACAGGATGCAGGAGTCTTGATTCACAGCGTCTTGCTTAAATCACTACATCATACCGTCTTTTCTATATCTTTACATTCCTCATTTCATTCAATATATGACTTGAACTAAAATAACTTTATCTTCTGTTAGAAGGCAACATACTTACTGCCTGAAAGCATATTGATGTGGAAATGGCATAGATGATGCTGTCTGCATGAGGAAAATAGGGAACTTTCCCTGCTTCAATGCCTTTGAAGTAAATAGTCTGTGAAAGTAAACAAAACAAGCTGAATGAAACAAAATAGAGAAACAAATTACAAGTACTTTTTTTTTTTATCATATTGCCATTTTCAAAGCAACATGCCAACATTGCTAGTACATGTTCGTGTCTCTGTATTAGGTTCATGTTGCAAATGTGATATTGATTGAGCTAGCTTAAAGAACTTATTCAAGATCCTAGAGTAAGTGCCTGTAAATGCACAGAAAAGGACTTAGCAAAAGCTTGGCTCTTAAAAGGGTAGTATAGAACTTAAAGATCAAAAAGAGAAAGTTTGCTATGTTAAACCCTTCATTTTAAAAAAGGAAAAGAATAGTGCAACAACTAGCCCAACAAAGTGAATATTCACTGTTCTTCAACAGCTTGAAATCACATACTTTTCTTTCTGAGAAAACATGTACAGTTTATTTTCCTGAGCACAGCTTGACCTTCCAAAGCAGCATACGCCTCTTTGGTCAGTTACCCTTGGCTTGCGTAAGATGATAAAAGTAGTAAAAAAAAAGTAAAAAAAAAAAAGTAAAAAAAAAAAAAAGAACACAGAGCACTTTTACTATTTCACTGCAGCCACAATGTCTCAAAGTCCAGAGAAAACCATCAGTGATACAAGATAAAAAATTTTTTTAAACAAGTGATGTTCTAAAAGTCAATAGGGATAACTCAGAGTTGCTTTTACATAATCGTTATGGGAACAACCTTCAAAACATGTACTAGGATTACAAACAACAAGAAAAAATAGAGTATATCTTCCCTTTTTTATGTCTAATTTTCTGTTTGTTTGTTTTTTATTTAACATTCCTTTTTTAACTTCTTTAAAATGAATTAAGTGCTGGTAGTAGAAGTGGATAAATAACACGAAGGAATGAAGTCCTACAGTTCAGTAGGAGAAAGCTTGGTGATTCAGGGATGAAGCACAATAAGAAAGCAGTGTCAGCTTATTCCAGTGGTGCTGCTGGGGAAACAGCCAGGCCTAAGTCCTGATTTCACGGAAAAATCAGTGAGAAACCATAGATAATCAACATATCCAAAAACTACAAACATTATTAAATTTTATTTTTTTCTTGGTTCCTAGTTTTAACCAGTTCATAGAAATAAGGGAGAACAGATTTTTGAATTTGGAAGTTGGGTAGTTTGATTGAAATTCTCTTCAAAGCTGGGCATTCAATCAGTTAACTATACTAACAAACAACTGCAGCTATAGACTAAAACCTAAGCTATTTTGAGTTATCTTAGATTGCTGAATGCCAAAGTTAGGGAACAAAGGCAGGAAGTTAAGCTGTAGCTTTTGGCAATAAATCTGCAATTAAGGGCTAGTTCTATGTTTCTGGCAGAATGGACAAAATGCACTTTCTCAGAACTTTCAGATTTAAAAATCTGCAAAAGCTACAAAGTAAAGGGCTATCCAAAAAGTAGACAGAGAAAATGTGATGGAGAAGATGCATGGAGACCAACGGATAAAGGATTTTTAAAGTGAGTCACAGAAAGGAGGTTAAGAAAGAAACGAGGCCACAGGATAGAACTGCTGTCTGGCACATACCTACTCAAATACACCACTACTGTACAATCCTGCATGACACAGGAATGTTCTGACAAAGCCTGTGAAGTTCACTGTTTTTTCTGTCTTGAAAAAATACCTGAAATAAAGAACTCTGGTACCAGGGTAATATCTTACCTCTACTAATTTGGAAGCCAGGTACATAGAGATAGTAGTACTTTTGTAAAACATCATAGAAATTCCCGCTAGAGCCCCTGTAACAATTAGAAAATAAAACTATTATTAACACTCAGATTTATTGCAGCTGTTGCACTATGTCTGCACAACAGACATTGCACACAATTACAGTTTTTGTTGCTACAACATATTTCAATGACGTTCCTATGCTGCTTATCACAGTATGGTTCACGTCATTCAGAAGAAAAATGGAATTTTGAAACTTTGAAACAAATCTGTGGTTCAGTGATCAGAAACACAAACTTAAATTTCTTCTCTCAGCCCACAAACAAGAGAGAACTTTTCAAAGGCTCCACAGCGTGACAGATGCACAAGCAGCAGGGGAGGACCTGCAACGTCGCACAAATTTCATGGCAAAAGGATCTTTCTTTGGATGCAGTGGAGCCCAACCTTACAAATGTATATTCTGTCACATGTGGAAGAGCCAGTATTAGAACCTCACGTGACTAGGGCTTGGAAAATAAAGGGTGGGTTAACATTTGCATGCTCAGTAATTTGTTGTCCTTGAAGCTGAACATGAATGACAGATATATTAGACTAAATTTTCCTGACAATTTTAAATACAATTCTTTATTTGAAATCACTTGAAACACCACTGTTACTTTGATGCAGCCTTAAGGTACACAGTCCTATTTTCAACACAGAGGTCTGAAACAGGAATTGCAGGACACACATCCAACCTTGTGCTCAAGAGAAATATTTGCAGAACCCAGCAGAGTCAACATACACTTTTCATGGACTCACCAGCTACAAGTGCATGAAGCTCATCATCTAGGTTTCGTATCCAACGCAGAAAGCAACTAGTACCCTGTAGTGAACAGAGAGAAACATAGCCCTCGTTATTTCTCTTTCAGAATGCATAAACTGAAGAGAGCGCACTGTAAGGTAGCAATATAGCTCAGAGTATGAGTAAAGAATATAGTATGATAATATTTATAATCCACAGTACCTGAAACATTTTACAGTGTTTTAATTAACAGCATATACTGTTCCAAAACCAGAAAGCAGAACATTCTGATTCGAACAGGTCAATCAGACGTACCAATCTAATTCAAGCGTCATCAGAAAAGCTAATCTTGAATTTAGAAGATCTTCATCTGCTATAGTTGCTTGGACTCTTTCCCATGCCAAAGTCTGTCTTCCACTACACACAAAAAACCTTGAGGTTATTATATACATCCAATAAATTCTGGGACCAGGAAATCACATTAATCTAAAAAGTTAGAACTGTATATGATTGAAAGTCATACTAAAATCCAGAATAACCTGTTTGTTGACATATACAGCAATTCACAGCTTTTAAGGCCAGAATGGATATAATAATTGTGGCTTTGGCTGCATTAAAATATGTTTTGTGTGGATGACTGCAGGTTACCAAATGATCCAGACTGATCCATGTCTGTCACATCCTCCGTGTTATTTTTGTTAGCTGTTCTGGAAATCCACAGTTTGTCTACAAATTTTATCCCTGTTAAATTTCTATTTGCTTTCAAATGGCTAAGTAGGGTTAGACCAAGTGCTGATGCCACTGGGACCACATTATACAACTCAATACAATGGCCCACCGATGTCTACTTTGAGATATGTGAGTCAGTTCATTGTTAAACCACCTAATGCATGCTTTTCATAGAATCAAAGAATAATTTAGGTTGGAAGGGATCTCTGGAGATCATCTGGTCCCACCTCCTGCTTGAAGCAGGTCCTGTTAGAGTAGATTACCCAGGAACTTGCCCAGTTGAGTTCTGAGTATCTCCAAAGGTGGAGACTGGCTCTCTGGGCTACCTGTTCCAGTGTCTGGCCACACTCATATGAAAATCTATTCCTTTGTATCTAATCAGAAACCCCCTTATTTCAACTTGTGTCTATTGCCTTTCATCCTATTATGGTGCACCTCCAAAAAGAGTCTGTCCCTGCCTTCTCTATACCCCTTCCCATTAGATACAGACAGCAATAAAATCTCCCCTGAGCCTTTTCTTCTCCAGGCTAAAGAAATGCAGTTCTCCCAGCTTCTCCTTGCATATCATGTTATCCAGTGCCCTAAACATCTTGGTGCCCTCTGCTCCGGTATGTCAATGTCTTTCTTGTACAAGTGAGCCCAAAAATGGACACATTACAACAGATGTAGTCTCCCTTGTTATTTTACAGCATATATTTTTAATAATCAAATATTCTACAATGCCAGTAATACACTGCACCTCTGATAGTCAGCTTTATTACTCAGACTTGTAATCTTACATAAAAAAAGGAAACCAGGCTACCATCGCTGACTTATTTTCCATAAAACAATGTTTGCTGACATTAATTAACAATAAAGGAGAATTCAAAATATGAATATTGCAGCTACTATACTTCTACAAAGGCATTTCAGACTGCTTTTAGGGACAAGATGGACTTTTTAAAAGTGGTCCATAATGGAATTCCTCTGGGCCAAAACTGTAGCAAGCATTTCATTATCTGGCTGTGATGCACTGAACGATTCCTCTATATGCTTATCTCAAACTGAATAAAAAAATGTAATTCAACATAAGACCATGTAAGTTAGGGAATGCAAACAATAACAGAACGTACATACTTAATGAACTATAAATAAACGTTAGGGTACATGTCACCCTCATAAAATGAATATCCATAGAACTAAGTTATATTTTACAGTTGGAGTTTTTACAAGACTTCAAAGTCACCCTCATTTCAACATTTACAATTTAAATAATATTTTCTCTAAAGGAACCTTTCTTAAAGCGTGAACAAAAATCTAATTATTAAATAAACTCTGAACAGATCGTTCGCACATTGGCAACAAAAATTTTAAACTCAGTAACCTGACAATTTATCGTGTCTCAAGTTGACTGCAATTAAAGTGAAATTCTGTTTTGCTTAAAAATAAGACTTTTAAAATTTTGAATAGGTGTTATTTACCCTGAATAATACAAAATTACCTTAACTTTTGCAAGGAAGTAAAGTAGCAGTTGAAAAATATCAAGTTTGGTTAAGATTATAAAATTGCAGTAGCCACTTCAGCATTGCTGTATACAATACAATCTCCCTTAGAATACATGTTTTGTCAGATTCTATTTTGATATAAATAAAGATAATTCAATTAATTTTGACAAAGACTGTATTAATGTGCATCAGTTCACCAACTGTCATCTTATAATGGCAGAAAGGCAGATTTACAAGTGGTGAGTGCAAAGTCTCCTCAACTGTACATAATATATGTTCTACACTCTCCTGTTATTTAACATGAAGTTAGAGTTCCAGACATTTAAGGCAAAAAATCTGCAAACAGCTTCTTTACAGCAATCCCGCTGCTACTGCAGTCACTAGTTGTATCTGCGCTAAAACGGTTTTGTGCAATGGAAAGCCCCTTTGAAATCTGAATTCACTTTCTCTGCAACACTCCTTATCTCGTGATCTTGATATCATGCTGCAAAATCCATCTGCTTCATTGAGAAATGATTAAAAAAAAAGAACGCATCACGGAATAGAAGATCAGTTTGCTATTTATGATACTACAGTATTTTTCCATGACATTCTGTAGAATCCAGTAACAGTAATATTAAGTGGCTAGACCTTTTACCACTTTTTGATACTCTGAAAATTAGAAAAAAAAACAAAACACAGAGCATTCATCATTTCTGTATGTTATAAACTTACTTTGTATATACTGACAAAAGATCCCAGGAAAGCCCCGAGCTGGAAATTTTCCTTGTTGTAGAAGAGCGATAGGAGCCGGGAAGGTTCAGTAAACAGATGCCTGAACGTGGAAGGAATCCGAAGGCAGCACTGGATCAGGTAACCGATGCTAAACATTCTAACGAAGCCCTGGAGAGAACCGCAAGAAACCACAACTTCAGAAAAAGAGAAAGCAAAAACATAAGTTACAGAAGCACTGGTCACTTATTTTTGACCCTGAGCGTTTTAAAACCCACCCTGCAGCCACTATGGAGAACACATCCCCATCCTCAAACTCAAACCCAGTTTTTTCTTCCAAATTTCCCTGTAAAATAGCAAAGGCAATAAAATCCTAGACAACTGACTCTCCTTTAATTTATATAAATATTTGAAAGGCCTCAAAGGACACTGTTTTATCTTCTGCTCCAAAATTCTATCCTTCAAAATAATCCTGGTGGCTTAATTTCCAGGTTACCGCTCCCCTTTTTAACCACAAATGGGCCGATGAAGGAAAGTAATGTGGTGAGCGGGAAAAAAACCCCAAAACCCACAGTCAAATATCTGGAGGAAGCACTGAAGGAGGAAAAAGCCCAAACAAAATAAATTTCAGGAAGTGTGAGAATTAGGAATTGACACTGATGGCATGGCATACACTCACACACTCTCCCTCAGTCAAATTGGAGGCTTAGTGAAGTCTGCAGTAAGAAAACCAGCCAAACTGAAAGGGAGATTACGTGTAGAACTACCGAAAAAGGATAACATGCGTTCCAATGAATTTTTCCTGCTATTCCACCTTGGGTGCAGATCTGTTTTTTCACATCATGTCACAAGATCACATTCATGATTTAATACCAGATTATTCTCCCCAGTTTCTTATAACTTTCTCCAAAACTTCCTATCATTATTCTTACCTTATGGCTGAACTTCTCTGAGAGGTCTGAATAAAATTTATCCATTTTTTGGTTGGAAGATACCTCATTAATCTTTAAAAGCACCTTTTTTGATTTTCAACCTTTGTTTTGAATACAAACTTCACTGCTTCATTCACTGACATTCAGTCTGATGGCCAGAAATGGGGGAAAACACAGGACTCAAACGTTTACAGGGAATGTTTTCTCTCTGAAGGGTGCTGACCAAATATGAGCTTTCAGAAAATGGGAGACAAAGGTGTCCTGAAGTCACTGAACAGCAACCTCACTGGGCCAGACACCGAATAAGCACAAAGCACATGGAAAGTCTGCATCCCATAGACGTTATGCCCTGAAGAAAAGACATAGCCCAGGAATGAGAGAGCAAGTGGACTGAGACAGCGCTGCAAAGTTGAAAAAAACCCTAATTTGAAGCAGCAGTCCAAGTTTCACAAGCATACCCGATTATCAAACTGGTAACAGTTTGTAGATATTATTATCATAACCAGGAACCAAAAGAACCTAGGTTGCTGAGCGTTATCTAATGTATATAGCTGCACATACAAGGCTGACTTGCAATGACGGTTATAAGCATATGCCACCAAAAGGAAATATAATATAAAACTTAAGTTACTATGCAAAAATTATACAGAAACTTAACCAGGCAAGTCTCATATAATCTATACCTGCCCTCTGAATACTGTTGCCATTTAGTCCCTGAGCAGGCTCTTTCTATACTGAAGTTATGCTAACTTTGCTGATATCTTGTGTCCTATTAAAAAAAGATAAAATTCAAAGAGCTTTCAAAGTAGGCAAATTCTGAACAAAGTAATGGCAAATAAGGTGCTGGACGATTCCTCTCTCTGTCCCTGCACAAAACTATTTCGTTATTTTAATCCTGATTTTGTCAGGATTATAAATAAATATATGTCATCATACCTGCAACAGAAAGGTGATATAATTATCCTGAACTCTTTGTGAATGTTGCGTTATACATTCTCATCCTAATTCAACAGAAGACTTAAGCACTCTCTCTGAGATACCATCAACTTCAGTGCAGCTTACGCACACTGGAAGGCTAATATACTGCAGTGCAAAAAGACTTAACTAAAAGACAAAGTAACTCTAAGCAACACAATATGATATACTACACACCTATACTAAAAATAACTGCTAGACCTCTCCTGATGCTAAATCTTAACCATAGCACTCTTGGCACGACATAAAAACCCACATAGAAAATTTTAATTTAAAAAGTTATTTGTCAAAGTAAAAAATATAAGAAGCATCTGAAAATCCTCAAATCCAGCTACCCATTTTTGCTGTTCCGTAAGTTAAAAAATGAGGAAAATATTAAGAGATCAAGATCTTCTGGAGTTTCACCAACTCCTAAAAAAGGCATAGCAGGTGGTACCACCTGCGCCAGTCTAACTCTAGCCAAAACAATCTCCTCTATCCAGTATTCCTCTGAAAAAAAATGCGCTGATCGTATTATAAAACAGGCAGCCTAGGCCACTGGACACAGACAGCTCTTCCTGCGTGCAGCAACTGTGACCAATCTCTCATTACCCTAACTCCTTAAAATAAATTGACAGAGGAGTGAGTGCAGAAGCAGGCCCCAGTGTGCCAGATATGCACAGCTGTATGCACGCCACTGCAACGTCCCTCTGCCAAAACAGCACATTCCAGGTGCTTTATTTAGGGTGGAGTCGCAGGCGGGCTCAGTTGTGAAGTGCATCACATAGCTAAACGAGTTCCTTGCTCGCCAGTCCGTTCTTCCCACACGTTTTAGGCTATTCGTTTTCTTCAGCTAAACCAGAAGACTAGAAAACACTAACCCCCCGCTCCTAAATTGAGAAAATCTGTTTTCAAACTTGCCACATTTTCAATAGAAAAAGAATCAGTAACAGGATGCTTTCTCATTTCCTAAGTATATGTTTTTTCCGACTCAAGACGTTTACCCTGCCTTTGCCAGAGTTTGTCAATCCAACATCTTTTGCACTTACTTTAATACAATATGAGATGCAATTATCTTCATAGTGTTTACAGCATCGATGCCTAGGGCCATGTTTGCACCTGCAAAAAGCACAATGAAACACATATTAACTCATAGCTGTTTTCAGTGTAATCAACAGGAGACTTCATAAATTTTTCTTGCCTAAAAACACATAAAATGCTATTGTCCCACTATTCATTTTTCACATTACCTATTGGAGGGCACTGTGAACTTTTATAATGCCATAAAAGTGCAATAAAAACAAACAATACTTTAGTTGTACTGCAGAAATGTCTGGACACTTATTTTCATCCAACCTCTTTTCCTTTCAATGCTGCACCTATAAATACAAAATTAAACAACAAAACTTTCTGCTGTGGCCAACAGGGAATAACCATGTCACATAACGCTAGTGGGACTACCCTTCTCAGTCTGTTTCCACTCCATGGTTCTGGAAGCGTATTTGAGCAAGTTTCCATTACTTGTGTCCTTATACCATTCACACCACTTTAGGGTTTATTGGAAGGTAATGTAGAAAATAAAAATGCAAAGAGATTTCCAGCAAGTCTTCTCTCTGTTATAATCATTTCACTTCTGGGCTAATACTCCTACTGTATAGATTTTTCTGTGGCTCTCACTTGGGACTGAGAATTTTGACCGTGAGCATATAGAAGAGATTGGTTTGCGATGGTGGGATGTGCGGATTGTACCGCTGTTAGCCCTGCATTATGCAGAATTAGAAGGAAGTAATGTCATAGCAGGTATGAACATTATATTTTGCTGTAGCCAAGTATTCAAGGTTTAACACAAAATAAATTACACAATTTATATACTGTGCCAAATACCGTAGAAGTTTTGAATCTTGTAGCATAAAGTCTAATGGCCATAAATCATCCATGAGGTCTGTTTATGTAGCAAAAATTGTAATGAGAACGTGATCAGGTTACAGGCATTTAGACTCAATTATATTGAAAAGAACCATATGGAAGAAAAACCTGTGAGAGCATAAGGACTGAAAATTGGAAGTTTTCTGAATATCTGAGGAGGGAGTTTCAAAATCTTAAAGGAAGAATACTCTTCTCCACCCTGACTCTCTTAGCCCCTTTAGGGTATTTAATGAATAGAGGGACTGTTAACTATCACTAATGAACTGAATAAGGGGAATTTAAGATAGAAAAGGTATAAAGAACTCAGCTAAAAGAAATTGCATGTAGCTGCAGCTGTCGTCTTCTGTTTGTAGATCTTTTGCTGCCAAATTCCATCTCTCCCTGAAAAGTTAATGCTAATTTCCCTCACATTTTTCATTTTTAAAATACAGCAAATCAGAGGAAGCAGCTATGTGATGCAGGCCATTTCATGTTTGTTCATTATCTGAGCATGTAATAAAAACCACTACTTTGAGAACACAATGCACTTCGAAGATTTATTTCTTTCCTGCATGTGAGTAGGTAAAGATCTGGTCATAAAACTGCTCCTGAAGAGGTCAATGGAAGTGAAGATTCACAGATGTGACATGATCAGACCCTTCTACTATTTCTTATCCCATCTTCCCTATAATGAACGCCTCCTCATGGTACACAACATGCATGAAGCAGATAAGTCAAGCACAGCAGAAGTACCTCATCTGAGCACATTAGACTAAATAGCTGTATGATGTCCTTTCTTTAAGTTCACAATAAAACACAGTAAATTGGATTCGGTAGACAGAGCAGGAACCTCTCTTACTTAACTTCAGATGACCTGAGCTAGTTACATCGGGATCCTATAGTCAGTGCAGGGAAGTGGGCACTATTAGAAGCAAAAAATAATCATTTTACCAATTGCAGAAGAAGCTGCAGAGTAGCTACCCGCTTGAACAGCCTGTTTCTCTCCACTGACAGTAAGGGAAGCTTATCCCAGATTCAGTTGTAGCAGTCTAATACAAATATATCTCCACCGTAGATAACCAGCTAATTGAGACCTGTCAAAGGTCACTCTTGCTACCAAATAACTATGGACAGACAACAAAGGCTTACTATGCACCTTCTCAAAACCTTTCTCTTTAGGCAAAAAGTCAAGGTTTGCAGTTAGAATTAATGTGTTTTAGCTGACTGCCTTGTATAGTTAGAAAACCAGGAAAGTTTTCAAAAACACAAGTGCCTCTTCACAATTGTCTAATCTTTGCTACTTCATCAATTGGAATAATAAAGGATATTACTTCATTACAAATAATGTTCTAAGTACTCAGATATCATGCCTACAGCAAAAATTCCACTATGGAGGTTAAAAAAAAAAAGAAAAAAGATTAAGGTCCTTTAAGTCCTATCAGATAAAGACAAGAGGAAGCAACTAAAGGCTGATCTACAATTGCTGTGTCAAAACAAAGATAGATGTTACTCCTGAACAGCTTCACTTACAATGGGACTAGAAACCAAGTCTTCATCTACTCTTTGCCTCCAGCCATCATTTCAAAGAGAGGGCTGAACTACTAGCTTATACTCAGATGTGCAACTCAGACACCTAAATATAGGAGATGATTTCTGCATCTGAACTTCAGGTTCTACAGAGTGTCTATCTCAGGGCTGCAGTTTGGCATCTAAATCAAGAATCTCGGACACATTTCTTTTCTCAGTGGATCCTGTTAGCTGCCCTAGGCATCATCCAAACTGTGAGACAGGCACCTAAATTTCCTATTAAGGCAGACACTCAACAAACCCTTTATGCACTCATACTCTACCTTTAAGAAAAATTAATTGCCTAAGTTCAAGAGAACAATGAAGGAAAAGTCTATTTTACCTAGGAGACTCTGAATGCTCGCTCTTTCAGGCAGAAATTTATCTATATTCTAGGCCACGCTCACTAGTATTCCCGTCATCAATAAGCTAATAAACTAGATTCTGACCTTCTCTGGAGACACCAAGTTGCATGCTCAAGCCATCAAAACATTTTTTGGATCACAGCAGCATCAACACTCATCTTATGCACACTAGTGATTCAGAGTGTGCACCCAGCCAAAATTTTGATCCCTAGATTACTTGTGTTACCTTTCATCCACTGACTCTCTAAGCTAAAACACATAAACGATCCCGAAAAAAAAATGTGTTCTAGCACATAAGGAGAGATATCAGGCTCTGACTGCCAGTTTCACACGGGGGTTCACTTGATAGAGGCATCTGGGCTTGTGCAGAATAGACTCCCTCTTTGCTTTGGAAGTTCCTATTGCCTGAGGTACGATGCAGGCCAACTGTTACCCATCCTGCTCTTAGGTCGTTCTCTCTAATGCAATACACGGGTGCCTGCAAAGATGATGTAATGGTAAGGTGACCTACATAAGGAGTATTGCTGTATAGTTTTCCCTCCTTAAGACCACTGCTAGTGCCAGAAGAACCAGGCCATGAGCCAGTTTTGCTGAAAACTGCTGAAAAATCAAACACCGCTCTACCACTCAAAACTGACAGAAACTTGTACTCCCTTCTTAGAGAACCATGCACTGCAAGTCATACTGAAGCCCTGCTACGACACACAGGTCTTAAACTTTGCTCTCATTAGAGTTCATAATTTGTTATTGCCAGCTATCCACAAAAACAAAATGCCTATCTCTTAAATGCAAAGTCAAAGAATCATAAAACACTGTAACATACAGTCTAACAAAACACGAAAATAGGCTAAGTAAAAATGACTAATTATGCTTTGTTTTTGCTTTGTTTTCCTTTGACTCACACTTTGTCCATGAGTTTTTTTGTTAGAGCCAGTATGTTCATTGGCTGTGATATTTTTTCACAATGCTTTATCTTTCTATCTATTTTTGAAAATGCTGCCTCTGGTGAGAACGAATGACTGGGAATTTCTTCTTTCCCGACGATGAACCTGAAAGAAAAAAAAAAAAAAAAGAATAAAACACCAGTTATGTAAGTACCTTACTCAAAAAGTACCTAAAGGTCTATACAAGTCTGTAAAGTCTTTAACATAAGCTTGAAGTTGCCCACAGGTCTGCAAAAGAAAACGCATCCTCAACAGGTGCCAAACCTTGTGTCTCTTCAAAAAGATCAACCCACCAACATATATTTAAACTTCAGCTATGGCCAACATTGCTGCCAGTAATTCTTTAAAACCAGTAAAAGAATGGTATTGGGGAAGTCCATCTCCAACAAAGGAAGAATACTGAATAAAAAAATAAAAAGGCACATATTTTAAGTTATTTGCAGCAAAAGGTGACACAAAGTTTGATAATCAAAGTTCAATACCTCTCTTGTAAAACCTTCTAAATGTCTTTTCTCCTACCAACAATATCAACTTTGTTTTGCTCGGCTTCGTCTTCAGCCTTCTTTCTTCACCGGTTGCTATTGTCTATGCACTGGTTTATCTTAACTAGTCTCTACATTAAGAGCAAAGAAGATCACTATGGCAAGATGTACCGTTTCCCAAGAGTTTGCCCTATAATCCAAGTAGTCTCGTTGAGGGTTGGTGAAGATATAAATTAATTTACGTCATTCAGCATGTGACAGAATGTCCCAGTAAACTGGTGGCTTCAGAAAGCACCGTTTATGCATGTTGCCATATGAGTGCTTCATGTCCAAATTTCTAAACTATGAACCGACTTATTTAACTATTGGCACCTTTTATCAAATTCCACGGCTGTTTCATGGCCGCAAACTCTCTAAAATACTTTCCACTATCAGCAACAGCAACTCTGTTTTGCTTGACCTCAGCTTCAGTCCTTTTCTTCACCTGTGAGCTGACACTGTCCATGCACTGGGCTATCTTAGTGATAGACAGGTGAGGGAATACGGTAAGGGAAAGACGAGAACAATGTGTGAAGACGTACTACCGACACAAGACACTAAGCCAGGGAAATTCTGTGTTACCACACAAACGAGTGAGTGACACCAGATCGAGTCCCACCACAAAATAAATTCTACGCAAGCCTGGATTACAACAAGGCACACAAGGTTTACAGGCTTTCTCAAGTGAATATGCTAAAACTCCATGCCTGATTTTGGTGCTGGTCACAGATCTACTGATGTATTCATTCAACTCTGGTAAATACTGCAGATAAACTCCAGGTCAAAATGCAGCAGCCATTTCCTTTCCAGAAGAATACTGGGAACCACGAACCCCAATTTTAGAAAATGGAAAGATTAATGTTCCTTCAAAAATGTATAACCATATGTCTGCATTTCCCTTCTATAATGGTCTCAAATATGAAAAGATCCCTTTCTTGCCAGCATATTATGCCTTTTTAAAAATATGCAGTATAGCCCAGAAGTTGGAAAAGTTTTACAACAGCACGCTTTTTTTTCTTAAGAAAACTCTGTTTTCACATAACGCAGCTTTCATTGTGCACAACTCCCCAAAATCATCACTTTAAGCTAGGTACTCAGAGAAACTATTTTCTTTACTTACTTCAGTGCAGAGTACGTAAACCCTTTCAAGCCATCTTTGCACCTGAAACATAAAAACAACAATCTTTTCTGTAACGGACTGCTTGCAAGGTAACGTGTTACACATTAAATATTATGCAGAAGGGCTCTGGAAGAACATCAGTTTCTCATTAATGGAAAACAGCAAGTCTGTAACAACTCCACAGCAATCCCCAACTTCAAGTTGTCATCACAGTCTTGGAACATCTTAGAAACAAAAGGTACATACAGCATATAAATGCCAGTGCCTCTCTCTTTTATCAACGGCAAGGGTGGAGAAATTCTTAAAGGACGGTGACAGAATCATTAGGGTGGCAATGGAAAATTTCACGTGACAAAGAATTGCTACTGTATGGAAAAGAAGTCATGATGAGTCTTCTGAAACATAAGGGTTACTGCAAGGAGAGAAAGGAAGACTGCACCTAGATTTAAAAAATACTCTATTGTAAAGAATTGCCGAGAACTGTTATTCTGATTTTGAGAAAAACTGTTCTACTTTGTACTGTGCTGATCCCTGCAATACCTCACTTTAAGAAAATTCTCAATCTGAAAGTCACAGTTGTTCAATCATGTAGCAGTTGTTCTGATTCTGAGCTTGATTGCATATACTCTTCCTTATATACTAGAGGGTGCCTTACGTGAACAACCACCACACTCTGGCTGTGAAAGCTTTAGTTTATTGACATTTTTCTGCACAGGATCCGATGAATGGGAGTGAAGCCTGCAGCTGCCGCAGATTCTTCCTGGAAGACTTCTCCCAGTACCAGGAGCATGTTGATAGGAAAGCAAAGAACAGATACTTGTTTTTTCTCCTCCCTTTTTCTCCTTACACGATTGCAAGGGGAACAGATCATGGTAAAAAATGCATTCCTGACACAATATATAGAACACAAAATAGTAGTTATCCTGATCATTGTTTCAAGAACACATTTACTCTAGGAGAAGACAGCACGGCAGTCGCAAAAGCTTCAGAAACAGGAGCGACCAAATCGAATCTTTTTCCTTCTGCCTACGTAGACCAAGACATTCCTGGAAAGTCTGTGTCTGCACTGTCCCAAGAGCACATATGATATCATCTCCCAAAAGGCACCACATGTGGTTAGTGTGCGCTACTGACGGCTGTATGTATAAGAAGAAGGAAGAATATAATGAGATAGTGGCTCGTTTCCAGCTCAGGATTACTGATCATAGTGGCCTGGTGTGAGGCTTCAATCCTCCGGCTATGTTATGCAGATCGACTGTCATTCAAGCCGTTATTGGTGTGCGAGTGCCTGGGTTGCCTTCCCTTTCCACCTGAATGAGCCTCAACACGAGAAGGCAGAGCACGCTCCTGGCTCCGAGGTACCTTCTGCTCATGGAAGAAGCCCACAGATCAAACATGTCTTGATTTGTCCCGCAAGGCAAGTGCCCCATGAGTTCCTGTTAAAATTTCACAATCCTAAATATCCTTGGGAAACGCTTCCCAAGGGTAAGGCCTTCAGCGCATATGCTTAAAAGGATTTATTTCTGCCACCACCTGCACAGTTCTAACTTAGTAGTTATATGGTTATATATACTAGTACTATACACTAACATAGTTATATATAGCACTAGAAAATTCATCCTAAAAAGAATTTCTCTTGTAAAACTACTGCACCTAAAATACTGACCATATTATATGTAGGATTCCTAGCAGTTCACTGTCTTGCACAAATAAAATTGTTTATTGTATCTTTAATTATTAAATTGTATCTTTAATTATTAAAGAACTTTGCAATCAAAGATCCATAAGCATTTCATTTTTCAGTGATTCTTCACCTGTGGAATAAAGAAGCTGAAAATTACCATACCGCTTTTGCAGAAAGATGGACTTAATCTCCAAATGAAATTAGCTTTACCGAAAAATCACAGAACAAATCACCGGCAAAACCAGAAACAGAACCCAAATGCACAGGGTTTACATATACACCCACTTCTACCCCCAGAACCACAGTCTAGTATCATGACTCCATTTTTAAATCTATAAGTGAATGCAAGTTAAACGCCCCTCTGAGTTAAGGGTTCTCTACATATTATTTCTGCAAGCCGTCAACTCAAGAATAGGTCCTTAGTTTCTACTTTTCTTTTTCATGGACCAGTACATTAAAACCATGTACCAAGCGAAGTATAAACCCATGTGTGTTTCTAGAATAATATTGAAATAGAAGAGCAATTACAGTATAAGCATAATTATGTTTTTGCCGTAATCATTCCAAGGCAATTGCAGTTTTAGTTTTAAGTGTTCAAACAATTATTCCATTATTGTACCACCAGATGTCCCTAATCAACTATTACTGAAAGACTGACCCGATATGACAGACTTCATGACTGACAACGTTCTATAATTCATTGGCTTCAAGTTCTCCTAAAGGAGATTGTCAGTCAAACAATTTCTTCACTAATACTGAAAATCACAAGAGATTTGAGTTACTCAAAGATAAAATAATATTCCAAATATCTATTCATTCCTCCAAGAAACAGGAGAAAGACTTCTAATACGTATTCCAGTTACATATCTCAAGTCATTTCTGTGCAATAAGTATTTGGTGTATCAAGACTTCATCAGTTACTCAGAGGTAGATCTATTGAGTCCCCCAGCAAAACAAGAATATAGAAGTAACAGTAAAGACACAATTCCAACTTTTTCCCATTAACTTCCTAATTTTCAGTCATAATATAGTATAACAGTGCTAATGAAATTCTTAAATAGAACTTAAATTCACGTTGCCGTCTTTCTAAAATTTCTCTTATAAAGTCATTATGTAAACCGGTAACTATGTGAAAATATTGGACATTAAGGGTTTCTAGAACAGGAGCCCTAAAGAAACAACAGTTTTGATCAAGGACAGTTTACACTTTAACTCTCAACTCTCTGACATGTCAATTTTCTTCTTAAAAAGGAATGAGCAACCAACAACAAAACTGGAAATCTAATATCTGTCCTCATATAATGAATTCAGTATATTAAAAGCTTCAGATTACTGCTCTCGAGGGTGGAATTCCCTAATTTATTCACTCACCAGGTACACAACCCTGGTAGCAACAAAAGAAATTTCCGCACTGCCGCCAGACACGCGTTTTAGTGTGTGTGTTGCGGGGGGGAAAGAATATATCTAGATAGCGGAGGGACGTCACGTAGTCAAGTGATTGGCTTCAGCTGAGACTGCTGACGAAGCTAAGGTATAACGCTAGTTGCATGTGGTACACTTCATGAACACCTGGCCACTAATAACTGAACTAGGACTAATGATTTGCTTCATACAGGCCCCTACTAATTGGTAATAATAACTTTTACTCAATGCTTCATTGCTCAAGTGCTGAAAAGTCTGTACTCTACTGCTGACCCCCATGAGCCCTGCAAGCCGCAAATCAGCACGACAAAATGCATGGGCCAAACATGCCAGATTCCCCTGAGAAGGGCAAATCTCAGTAACGCATTATAACGTTCAAGCTGTTTCAAATGATGTTTGAACTAGAAAATCTGAGATGCTGGCTCAGTCGTACACTGTTAAAAGCACTCAGTGTGCTCCATCTTTCCTACCACTCTTACTGCCCTGAACGTCCCAGGAACAGAAGCTCAAGCTCCAGAAAGGCACTGCTTTTTTTTTTTTTTTTTTTTTGCCTAGCGAGCAATAATTTAAAGGGCACATAATCTGGTTACAGCTGCCCAGCAGAGAATTTTCCCATCAGAGGGGAATTTGCACCTGGTACAGAGCCAGCAGAGCCAGTGAGTGGGCCAGCTGTCCCTGTCCAGTACGGTGTACCTGACAGCACAGCGGAAACGCTGGGCTGCCCTCCAGCTCGTATTTGGCCAAAGCCGCGGCTGGAATCGGCAGAGCAGCAGAATCAAGGAGCCCAAGCAAATAAATTTGGGTTCTCCAAATTCCCCCGCCGAGACAATTTTGGCACATGAGCAAATAGGGTCGATTTTAATCATGCTTGTTTATAACAAATAGAACTTAAGGCCACACACAGATTTATTTTTTGCACAAAGAAAACAGCAGAAGTGGAATACAGCCAAGGTTTGATACTAATATACTTCTAACAAAGGCATGAACTAACTATAACTATTTGTGTTTGTGTATGTACAAAGGTGCTGTACATGCGCTTACGCTGCTCCCCCTCCATCACGTGGGAAAGAGATGTTCCCACACTGAGCTGCAAGGCCAAATGCCAGCAATTACGTTTTGGGGTTTTTTAGTAGTGTGCCTTGTCATAAGCCCTTCTAAAGATTTTCTCCGTGACCAATTGATAGACTTTGTGCAAGCAATGTTCTGAGGAAACAAGTTGGTTTTCACCCACAGAATTCGTAAGGAGAAAGGAGCTCACAGCAACAGCACATCCCATTGACAGCATTCCCATTTTACTTATGCTGTCCTTCGGGGTAAGAGTAAATTAGAAGCTCCTATACAGAGCTCTCATTATGGCCGCGGGGAAGCAAAAACCCTGCAAGCATCGGCCGTGTGTGCGTATTCCTGCAGCACATCCTGCCCATTAGGATGGGGGAGCAGGGGAGACTGCTTCCAAGTTAAGGTGCCGTGCCTGATCGTCGAGATAAAACGCGACTGTGTCTGAACACCTCAGCTACAACGATCACTGTTAAACGCCACGCTGTTAGGAATGAGAAGCTATCTGCTCGTATTTGTCAGCTGTAGAGGATAATCCATTCTCCGTTTTGGGCTGTTGAGAGAGGTGGCTATACTTTCCTGCCCTGTTCTTCTATTCCTCCACTCCTTGTCTTTTACCCATTGTTAACGTTCAATAGCAACAAAGCTGTCATTTTTCTGAGCTGCTTTCTGTAGCCTTTTCTCTTATTCTTCTTTAATTTATATCTCTTCTTTTGCTCTTCTACTGTTTCATCCCTCCAAATCCAACCTCCATATTTTGTATTGACTTTTCTTCTCCATTTGTCCTCTAAATGAAGACAAGATCCAATTTCTCTTTCTTTTTCTTTTTTAAACCTCCTTCAGTACCTTCTTCATGCCTCCTCATGGTTTGATACTTTTC